TATGCCTTTACACCTCCCGGCGAGGGTATTATCACAAATTCTGCTTCAACCAAAGGATCATCACAGCCTCATGGATCAGATCAAGATGTCATCCAGATATAGCAGCTTTCAAGTATAACCATGAATCTCCACTGATGCCCACCATATATAGAATAAATCATAGCGTAAACCCACATATACAATTTAAAAAACTTTATTGAATATGCTTACATCATGATTCCTCTTTAAAATAGCCTTTATCAGAATATCCAAACCTCTCAGAGTTCCCTGGTTCCTCCACATGGACTTCTATGACCAGATTCTAAAATGGCCACCGGATCGCTTCCAGTTCCTCTATGCGTCTGACATCACTTCCCTTGACATGTTTCGTCACCTGACTTAATCATAAGAGATCTTATGAACCTTGAACCTAAGGTAGTTTTCGTTAATATTTTACATACACATCCAGGTTTGTAGGTCTTGTTCTGTGCTCATCCCAAGCTCAGTGTGTTCAAATTGGCAGATGGAACTTTAAACATAAGGATAGATTGATATCAATCCACCAGGCGGTGCTCCGTCAATCAGCAGCAGTTGGGGGAGCATTGAAGCACTGTAATAGCAGCTCTGCAGCAGAACCCCTGGGGACCTCTCGTGGAACCCTAGAGTTTTGCAGAACCTGTTAGGAAACCCTGATCCAAATTGCCATAGTAAATTTGTCTCAACCCTGCTTCTGCACAACCTCTGTCTATGCATTTAATAAACGAGTCTTCTGCTAGAACAGCCATTCTCAACCAGCATTCTGTGCAACCCTGGGGTTCCTCCAGGGCTCCTTGAGCTGTGACTCCCATTTGATGGTTCCTACATAGTTCCAGGGCCAACACCATTTGGCAGAGCCAGCTGAATGACAGCAGTGATCTTAGCTGTCTATATTGGTGGCATTCTTGCCATCACTGTAAGGCCTTATTTACACTTGCTTTGCTCTCTGAAGAGTGATCCACATTCAGATAATTTTTTAGAAAGCATTTCATATGCAGTGAGGAGGCCTTGTGTTGCCTCCGTGTTGCCTATTTTAACCCCCTTAAATACCAAACTACCACTCCACAACCGTGTGTGTTGTGTGCGGCTGCGAGGTGGTTGCAGTGTGGCCCCATTCAATTGAATGAATTGCGTTCAGCAGGTGGTAGTGTCTGCCTAGTACATGGTCACAAAGCAAAGTATTCTAGCCGCGGCATATGTACATCCTTGGCTGCTGCCTTCCCAGCTAAAAGTGTGGAGTGGTTGAGGGATGATAAAAACATGTTCAATTGCAGGGTTTTACTACCCCCCAACTGCAAGTGTAAATGAACCCTAAGGGGGCGGCATTCTTATCACTGAACTGGTTTTAGAAAGCGTTTCCAAAGACCTGAACATTTTTTTTCATAGGATCCTCCAGGATAAAAAGACAGAAAGTCTGATCTAGAATGAGGAATCTGCTATTTTTTGGGGCAACCAAATTTGTCTTTACACCCAGAACATCAATAATAATAGTAACAACAAAAAAAACAACAACCGGTTATTAGCCATTGATGGCCTTTCTATGTCATCCAAACTGTTTTTCTTGGTTTATTCATAAAGCTTTATTAACTCAAAGTTTTTACAAATAAAAATACAGCTTTGTCTTTGTACACTGGAATCCTATGTATAGATAAATCTTCCATAAAATGTACTCTGTATACTTTTTTTGCAGGCTGCAATATTGTACAATGATTGGAAATCATAACTTAAAAATAGATATATGGCTTTGTCTAGATAAACCTATACATTTTTAAATGGGGCCATTAAATAGTTTGAATTATTACACAATGACTGATGCCATCTCCTAATGAAATCTTATCACATACACCATAATTGTTAATAGGTATTATATCACCGGCAGTTGTCCATCAATGTATTCAGTGTATCTGATATATATTTACGTATGTAGTGAAATCATTGTAGTTTGGAGAGTAAATTACTGAAGATGGGGAAATGTGTTTGTGATCCTGTTTATCAAAGTGTCTGGAAGAAGAACTTTTGCCCATTAAACAATTATTAAACATTGCACTAGAATATGACATTTGAACAATAGCATGTGAAGAACAATTTTTGATTGTTTTTCATTAACATCCTGATTTCTTTCAGACGATTTTGCAGGCTCGAACTGAAGATGAGACAGTCAGCTGGGTTGGAAAATTCTGATTTTATGTAAAGAATAAATTCACCTTTGGGAACATATTACATGTTTCACCTGTTTTAGCTGAACTTATCCTTTAAGTTGATTGTGAAATGTGAAAATTCGATTTAGTTTTAATTTGCTTTACCTGTAAACCTTTGACATTGAAAGTATTCATATAGATGCAGCTCAGACTTACTATTTGAATTGAAAAGTTATTTCAGACATCCAGACGATTATTAAATTATCAGAGATGGTCAATCTCTTAAAAGTGAATGCCTGCATGGCTAGAATTAGACAGACTGTTCATTAGAGCAGGTTCTGCCATTATTATCTAAGCAGTATCTTTGGCAGGATCCACCTCAAACATCATATCTAAGCACAGATGACGTCAGATAGGAACTCAAACTTTACAGAGCCATGGTGACGTACCATGAGGGGTCCCAGCCCCTGCTCCAAGGGGGCCCATACAGCCTCCCTCTCACATTAAGTTTTGTGGCAGGGGCAATTATAGGATCCAGTCCCCTGTACCGTTCATCCTGCAGCAGCTGAAAGCCAGATTCTCCTCCTCTCCCTCCTGCTGCTTTTAGCTACATACAGGGGATCGGTTTCTCTAATTGCTCCCCACCACACCGATCCCCCTATCACCCTCTCTTTGCTCCCAAACCTGCCCCCCCCCCCCCGCATGTTCTCCCACTCTGCTCTCCCATCGGCTGCTGCAAGGGAGAACGGAGAGCGAGGTAGCAGCTGGTAAATATGTAATTTACCTGTCCCTTCTTCTTAATGAACACAGTGAGTGATCAGTCCAAACCACTCACTGTGCTCATAATTGAAGCATAGTAATCACTGTTTAATATGCTTGTGTTTATGAAAGAACAGGAAGGCTGTACAGAGATCTTCTTGTTCCTTCATTCTGTACAGCTGAGGCTGAAGAAAGAAACTGAGGAATTTGTTTCCTCAGTCCCTTTCTCTGTCTCAAAAGTGTAACTTCAGGGGTCTATTTAGACCCCTGAAATTTTACCAAACCCACACCCCCAGAAGCAATGTAAAAAAAATTTAAAAATAAAAAAAATTGCAACAAATATTTTTTTTTTAATAATTCAAAATGTAAAAAAAAAGGGGGGCTCATTCACATGGGTTCTCTAGTCCATTATTGAACAGTTTGTGCAGTTAGAACTGCCTGTTAGTCTATGGGGATGCAGCGGCTGTACAAACACAGCCCCAGGTCCTAATTCAGGTGTGATAAAAAGGAATTTATTTAAAATGACAAAAGTGTATACTCACAAACCAAGACTCATACAAGCTGGAAACCAGTGTGACAGTCCGATTACCGTTTATTCAGACTGCCACACTGGTTTCCAGCTTGTATTGCGAGTCTTGGTTTGTGAGTATACTCTTTTGTCATTTTAAATAAATACCTTTTTTATCATGATAATGCACGAGGAGAGTGCGCCCCTTCTTTGCTTTTTTCCAGTAATATCAAGATTCCCAGATCTTTAGAGGGCTACACCCCAACAAGTGACTGTTACTGTGGTTCTGGGAGGCTTACAGACTTGAGCACTTGTGTATGGTTTTCTTTCTCTTAATTCAGGTGTGAAGGTGCGGGTGAGTAGCCCTGAATGCACACTGTCTGTGTTTGGAGCCGTACACATGCACCCACATGCCTGTCAAATTAGGACCTGTGGCAGTGGTGGTACTACTACCAGGGTCACAAAGGTCACACTTGCGAAGGGCCCCAAGATGGTAGGAAGGGGGCCCGCTGTGAGAGGGTCCTCTGCAGGACCGTAATAAAGGGCCCTACGATGGAAGTAAAGGGCCCCAGGATCACTAGGAAGGGTCCCAGGCTCAGAGGAAAGAGCCCAGGCCAGAGGTTAGGAAGGCCCTTCATGGTTTCTTGCAACGGGGCACTGAAGGGTCTAGTTTCCATTACTTTCCATTATAAGAATAATGGAAATAATGTGCTTAGATGGCAGTGGAACAATATACATTTTTAAACTGGCTATATAGGATATTGTTTGTATTTTCTATTTACTGCCAGTGAGGATGCTCTCTGATATACAACCCTCAGCCTTTTCAGGAGAGCCAAGGGCTGTGTGAAATCTAAGCTTCTCTCAGAAATCAGCCATGGTTGTACTGTTCATATATCATTTTGATTGGCCACATATGTATCGTATACATATACAATTGCATTAAATTTTTAATTGGGTCTTGCAATAATCAGTTGTTTCCACTAATGTCTTAATTGCTTTCAGCTGATTTTTCAGGATCTAAATGAAGATGAAAGCAGTTGGCTGAGCTGGAAAATTCCAATAATGTTCAAGTTGATTGTGGGGTGTTCGGGTGAAATCTGAAACTATCATTTTTAGTTGTTTTTTTTTCACCTATACACATTTGACTTTAGAAGTTGACAGACAGATGCAGCTGAAATTTGCTAGGTACAATAATTTCAGATATCCAGTCGATTATCAGAATGCCTGATGAAAAAGAACTGATGCATGTATTGCTTGCATGGAGGTGCTGCCATAAATATTCAATCCGTACCTATGACAGCATCTTCCTCAATACTCACCATACGGTATCCAAGCACATATGATATCAGATAAGGGCTCACACTTCACACAACCATTTGCGCTCTTGTGGAACTCCATGCAGTGAAGGTTGCATATCCTTGTGCAGTACTCTCATAATATAGAATGTCAGTGTAAATAGAATGACAATTAATCTTTTCTGAAGATCCTCTTTAGGTCAGACACTTTGATAAAAAGGGGGACTCTCTCACATAGACACTTCCCTATATGATATCTGCTAGACATGTAGGCATGTGGTCATTCTACTGATGCTTAGGTTCAAATGAAAGTCTTTCTCCAAGCCTTCTGATCAGTTCCGCCAGGTCTTCTGTGTTGTGAGATTTCTCCTCAAGAAGCTCATAGCGCAGACTTGAGATGTCCTGCTTAATTTCCTTCAGTTCTCCTGCAAATGTTTAAAATAAAGTGAAAATGAAAAAAATCTGTAAAAGATCACATAAGTACACAAACCTTGTTATACAATAGTAGTGTCTATATTAGAGTCAGAATACTTTACCTTTTTCCTGATTAGTGATGGGCCAAACACCCCCCCTGTTCGGTTTGCTGTCGAACATTTGAACATAATGAAAGTTTGTCTTCGTACTTCGAACAGAGGGGACACTTCACTAAGCTGTATCTTACTGCATCTGAGTATGCAGTAAGATACCACACAGCTACTGTCCTCGCTGACAGCTGATTTTTTTAAATGCGTGGGGTCCCCCCCAGCCATACCAAGCCCTTCGGGTCTGGTATGGAATTTTATATGAACCTCCACGCCAAAATCTTTTTAAAAAATGGCGTGGAGGTCCCCCCCAAAATCCATACCAGACCTGTATCCAAGCATGCAGTGTGGCAGGTCAGGAAAGGGGGCTGGGAGGAGTAAACGCCTCCCCCACCCCCCTGAACCATACCAGGCCACATGCCCTCAACATGGGGGGATTCTCCCCCCACCCAAAACACCTTGTTCCCATGTTGATGGGGCAAAGGGCCTCTTCCCCAAAACCATGGCTGGTGGTTGTGGGGGTCTGTGGGCGGGGGGCTTATCAGAATCTGGAAGCCCCCATGATCAAGGGGGCACCCAAATCCCACCCCCCCATATGAATGAGTATGGGTTACATGGTACTGCTACCTATTCACAAAAAAAAAGTGTAGTGGAAAAATGACAGGAGACAGTATGATAAAGTTCTTTATTTAAAAAAAAATTTTAAAAAATATTCCCCGAAGTAGATCCAAGATCAATCACGATGCCCGCCGCCATCACTAATCTGAAAAAAGAAAAAAAACGCTCACTCTCCACGCTGGATCCCACCATCTGACAGTTGCTCCAGGATGACAGTTCTTAAATAGTGTGATGACATCACAAAGGGTGGGTCACCCCACCCCCTTGTGACATCATCGTTTGCTGTGATTAGCCAGATTTATTTGTAAAAAAACATTTGCATAGAAAAATATATTGCCTTTGTAAATCCTTATATGCCACAATAACACATATAGGAAGGAATGTTGGAGTGCATTGTAATCATCCCATGGAATGGTTATTCTGCACACACTTATTCCATGTTTTAAGGGTTGGTGTAGACATAATAGGACAAGGGAGGTACCCACAGGTCTAGACAAACCCCAAGAAGCAGGCGGGTGGTCTGCGAGGAAAGTTACAGCCATACATAACATTTCTGAATCTTTTCTCTTACTGTCTTTTCGCTCTATGGATCTGGTTACCCCTGGCTCATAAGCGCCATTGGGGGAGATTTACTAAAACCGGTGTACACACAATCTGGTGCAGCTGTGCATAGTAACCAATCAGCTTCTATTGTCAAAGCTTAATTGATTACTATACACAGCTGCACAAGGGTTTGTGTATTCCAGTTTTAGTAAATCTCCCCCATATGTCATAAACACCAGTAGATGACTGCTCCGACTCACCTTCATTAACTTCATCACTCTCCTTGTCAACCTGAGCTTTTAGTACGTAACGCTTTATGAGACGCTTCATTATTTTCTACAAAATTGAAAAAAAAATTACTAAATGCTGTTATTGATTAATATATATTGTATTAATCTGGAATGTTGGAAATACATAGGTCTGAAATCATGCATAAATATATGGTTAGGTATTTAAGTATGGGTATGCTTGTACCAAGTTGGTGCCACTGTGGTCTTTCAAAGTAATAGTTACATGGGTAGGCTATGCTACATTGTGCTGTGGTGATAACACAATGAAAGTCAGTGCTCCTTTTTAAGATTCTTCTCTGTACTATCCATATTTATCAGTGTAGTAAAGCTTTGGCAAACAGTTTCATCTTCTGGGTCATGCACTTGTGTACCAAAGTGAATGCCAAAAGTTTTATATTCTGTACCAGCAGACAATGCTTTAACAAGTACAATAATTCACAGTCTGAGCAGTATATGCTGATTTTTATTGATAGTGGTTCACCATGCAATCAACAAAAGAGAATAGTGATTCTCTGTAATCAAATTACCTCTGCAAGTCCTTAGTTATTTTAGCCAATGCTAATATTAATCTGTAAAAATAAATACGTATCCAAGCTGTTGTATAGTTATCCCTAAGGATATAAATATGAATAGTTAAATATAATATAGTACTAAACAACTAACAATAAAACCTCAGTTCAAAATACTGTATATGTGATAAAAAAAATCTGTGCCAAACATTCCTCAAAGGATATAGGCAATAAAGTGGAAGATATGGCTAAATACATGTATTCTTAACCCCTTGTCAATGACACCTCTCGTCCCTTTAAGGGTTCTAAAAGCTGGGAGGCAGAGGCAGGTGTCAGAAAGCTCCCAGTCGCAAGTATGCATTGGTGACTTACCGCCAGCAGGGGCAGACTGGTGACAGTGGAAGGAATAGTACACCAAAATTGGTGTCAGTGGAAGGAATAATACCCCAATATTGGTGTCACTAGAAGGAATAGTGCCTCATATCAGTGAAAGGAATAGTGCTTCAAGGGCCCGCAGGCTGCAGTTTGGAGACTCCTTGTCTAGAGTATAAAGCTTCTAAAACAAAACTGTCCATAGCAAGGCTATGGTCAGGATGGGTCATTGTTTCCTGGTTTTGCCCTGTTGTTTAAAATACTGGACTATAGTACAGCTGCTGGTAATGGAACCCTCAGGCCTTATTCCCCTAGATCTATACATATGTGTACTAGGTAACCCGTCTGCAGTGCCAGGTAACCCACCCAAAGGCTATTAAATCACAACCTTACAGCCAGATATGAAATCTCACATTATTGGAAACAAACTTTCCTGACAATTTGTCTTCAGGAAGGAAAGCATTACTTCTCAAGAGTGGAATACTATTCCAAAATGTAGTAAGATTTGAGCCCCTTGCCTTCATTTGCTATTACCACCCCCTTCCTCGCCTTCATAACGATTTAAGCAAGTGGGTTATTTATAGAGGTCCACCAATGACCTGATGAGCTCCTTAAGAATAGTTCTCACCACGTAGATATACAGTATTTCTCCAACACACACAGAAGTTCCTGTCATTTACTAAGCAAAGAGGTCCGTCCTGGAAATGTTGAATTCTCTGCAGCCATCTTCTATATTCTTATCACTAAATCCTGAGTGAGTAATTTCTGCTTTCACAGGAATGTGCTTTTCCCTTGTGTTTATCCTTGAAAATATCTTGTAGTTCCCTTTCTGAAGAACTCAAAGTGCTGATGCCAATTAATAAACATTTAACTATTACTTACTGGTCACAAAAATTTGAAAATAAAGCAAGAGGAAAGAAAGATTGCATTTTTAAATGAAGTGTTGTACCTTTAAATAGAACTTGATGTTATCAGCACAAATAATATCTGTAAGAATACACTAATGTATCTTAACCCCTTACTACCACCCCTGTAAGAGGATCTAAATGCTGGGAGGCAGAGGTGGACATTCAGATAATATGACCACTGTTATAGGCAGTCACATGATCAGAAGCTTCTGATTGCAAGTATGCATTGGGAGCTTACTGTTTTCACTTTAGTTACTGAGCTGTGAGCATGCAGTGAGCACGCTCTAAGCACAGTAAGCAGTACCCTATGGACCAGGGGCGGACTGACAACTCATGGGGCCCCCGGGCAATAGGGGATCATGGGGCCCCTGTGTCCTTGCCCAAACTCAAAAAAGCCTATGAAAAAGGTACCAGGGGCATCTCATGGGGCCCCCTACTGACCTCGGGCCCTCGGGCAGTGCCCGAGTTTCCAAATAGTCAGTCCGCCCCTGACAGCCAGTTACTGTGTTAGGAGCGTGCAGGGAGCTTGCTCTCAGCACGGTAAGTAGTTTTAACTGAGCTGCATAGATGCATGCGGCCAGCATCAGCAGGTTAAAAATGCTGCATACCCCCTCCTTCTACCTATCCTGCCTAAACTGTATAGAAGATATCTGTGTAAATACCTTCCTTTAATCCTGTTCAATCTGGTCATATGATACCAAAGTTTTTGTCTCTCCTCTGTCAGTAAGTGGCTGCTGCAGTGGAGAGGAGGGAGTATTAACAATGGCTAGGCAATAGGATCCAGCATATGATGTCCTGGATCCTGGAATTTACAGTTGTTGTCAATCACTCTTTTGAACAGGGAAGGCGCAGCTCCTGGAAATGTGACTGGACCAGAGGAGGGAGTATTAACAATGGCTGGTCAATAGGATCCAGCATATGATGTCCTGGATCGTGGAATTCACAGTTGTTGTCAATCACTCTCTTGAACAGGGAAGGCGCAGCTCCTGGAAATGTGACTAGACCAGAGGAGGGAGTATTAACAATGGCTGGTCAATAGGATCCAGCATATGATGTCCTGGATCCTGGAATTCACAGTTATTGTCAGTCACTCTCTTGAACATGGAAGCCGCAGCTTCTGGAAATGTGACTAGAACAGAGGAGGAAGTATTAACAATGGCTGGTCAATAGGATCCAGCATATGATGTCCTGGATCCTGGAATTCACAGTTGTTGTCAATCACTCTCTTGAACAGGGAAGCTGCAGCTCCTGGAAATGTGACTGGACCAGATTAAAAATAGTTATCTAGGCAGATCTTTTTTATACTGGCTATGCACCATGGATGTTGGTGGGGGTGGGGGGGGGGGGGGAATTGAGGGAGGCTGCATTTTTAAGAATAATTGCAATAAGCCTTTACGTTTACAATCAATTTATATGAAAAGAAAGTCCATAAAAAACTCCTAAAGGAGTACAGTACGACTCTCAGTGCAGCAATTCAAATCAAAATGCAAATCCTGTTAAACAAAATCAACAGAGAAGTCATCATGAAGTGTATGAACATCATATCAGAATTTGAACTTTAAATTCAATTGCTGCACTGAAAGGCTTGCATTGAGAGTTTTATATGGATTCCAAATGGATGGGTGATGCGTTATTGATTGAAAATAAAAATTCTGCTTCTATTATCTAAGATTTTACCATTTCTGTATATTTCTTTATTTAAAAAGCACACAGTCTTCCCCAAACTGTTGCCATGAGGTTAAAAGTCAATAGTTGTCTAAAACGTCTTTGTATGCTCTAGCATTAACAGCACCCTTCACTGGAAACACATAGACTACATAATTTTGAGGGGTGTCCACATACTTTGGCCACATAATGTATCAGTTACTGGTGGAGTCTGCAGTGCTTAGTTACCCTCTGGAATTTTATATTTCCTGGAAATTCAGGGGTGAAGTCTCACTCCACCTGCTCCAACATGGGGATCTCCCACTCTTACTGTTACATTATTCATTATGAAAAGTACTTTGGAAGTCCATCAGGGGAGAGACATAACTGCTGTAAAAAGTGTGTAGACCTGTCAAATGAAATGCAGAAATCTCACAAACGGAGTCCAACAAAAACATAAGAAACCATTAGTTGGTTTTACCCCTCAGCATCCAACAAAAACTGAAGAATTGTTTGAGGTGGGCAAACATTTGAATATAATTAATATACTTTTGAAAAATGTGACTGGTTTGTACCTACCTGATATCTTGAGGGTGCTTGGCTTATGTTGTTCAGGTTGCCATCTTCTGAGCTCCTAATGCTTGAGTGCTTGCTCTGTCCCAACTGAATACAAAAGAAATGATTAAGGTACATTCAGGTAATACATCTAGCAAATAGTATCCATATACATGACATTCCCAGTGTGATATTGGATGACAATCTCATATTATTGGGTGCCCTGCAGTTACTGCTATCTGTCTGCTTTTTCATTAGAGCCTAAAATTTCTTTCATAGGGGGTTTGGCTCCTCATTCAAGGTACACTCTGATTGGAGGTGTGTATTAGAGAGCATAATGAGAGTGAGGGGACCCTTGGGATTAAATTGTCTAAAGTATGGTTTCTCAACCAGGGTTCCTTGGAGCTCTAGGGTTCCTCCAGAGGTTGCTGAGGGTTCCTTGAACAATGAGCAATTTCTGCCTCTCAGATAAATTCCCACTGACAACAGTGATCTTTTTAGGTATTTGTAAGGGGGTAATCCTTCCCAATGACCACAAGTGTAAGGAGCATTCTTCCCACTGACCACCACATTAATGTATCATGAGTTCTAAATACAGTAGTATCTAGCAGGGGTTCACCGAGTCAGGAAAGTTATTTCAAGGGGTTCCTCTGTGTTGAGAGGCTGGTGTAAAGTATTCTTATCTTTTAACTTCCACTGTATCTCAGTTGCTTACCAGTGGTGTAGCTTCACACATTTGAGCCCCAGTGTAAGATAGGAGTCAGGGTTCATAAAATTCAATCTTGTATCAACATCATTATGACTCTCATAATATTTCTTACAAATAACATGTTCACCCCCATAATCCCCTGTACCTAAACCCCTCAACACTCATACTCCCTCCACTCCATCTCCGATTATCCTCTTCACCCTGCATAGTATTCCTCTATTTCTCCAGAAGATAATTCGCCACACACTTGTTCAAGGTGAGGGTGATGGAGAAGGTGTTCAGATATAGCAAAGCAGGCCCTAGGAGCCCACCAGTGCCAAAGGTGGGTTGCAGATGAAGAGTCTACTTCTCCTTTCCTATAACACTGTTGCTTACTGTATTTACGCAATCATGATCAATCTGCAAACATTGTCTCAAATCATTAAAAGCCTCATTCAGTAATAACATAATTAAAAATTGTGTCCTTGCCTACAGCTGATGAAGAATATATTACTCACCAACTTGTCTATGGGGTGATCTAGCGCATAGTTGTATTTACTTTACTCCTACCTTTCCTCAACAGTTGGTGATCAGTTCCTATACTCCAGGGATGCAAAGTGGGTGAGTTTACATAACCACAAATAATGCAGGACTGGCAGCAATGTCCCATTCTGATGGTGAATTGTATATGATGACAACAGAGAGCGACCAGTAAGATAAGCAGATTCAGGGCCTGGTCGTCACAACCATTGTTTGGAGGAACACTGTGGGACCATGGATTGAGGTATTTTTCTGCATTAGAAAAACTAGCAATATATTCTTCACCAGCGGACAATGGTGGGGGGTGGGCTAACTTTATTAATTTTATCACTGCTTGGATTTTTTAACTCTCTTAGTTTAATGTTTTCCCCAAGAAAAACGTGCAAAAAAGTAGCATTGTTTTCAATACACATATTTAAATGCACATTTTTAACCTAAAAAGTTAATAAAAACCACAAAAAATATGGAAGGAATTTACTAAAACTGTAGCAGACAGAATCTGGAGCAGCTATGCATAATAGCCAACCAGCTTCAAGCTTCAGCTTGTTCAGTCAGGTCTTGAAAATGAAAACAAGAAGCTTATTGGTTGCCATGTGCAGTTGATACAATCCTTGTAAATTCTCCTCTATATAGAAAGCAGAGAACTTGTAAAATGAAAAAAAATGGCGGTTATCAGTTTTTATTTTGCATGGTATTTACGCAACTGTTTTTCAAACCTATAGTTTCAGTAAAAATACACTAATTTTAGAGCACAAAAACACATTATAATTCTCATTTTTTGCAATATTTAAAAGACAAGACTGTGTTTAATAAGTAGATAACAAATATGTCAAACCTTAAAAATGCATGCAAAACTGGGAAAAATGTTGATACTCAAAATTGTCCATAGCCTATGCTTTATAAACTTTTAGAGTTCACCAGTGTAGTGTTAACTGTAAATGTCCCTAGAATTATTCATCTCTCTCCAACATGCATGCAGGTGTCCAATATGTGTTACACAAATGTCATTTACATATGCACATCCTGGGGGCAGGGGTGTGGGTCCCTATTATTATTATTATTATAAATGTATATAGCACCAACAGTTTGAGCAGCGCTTTACAACATGAGGGCAGTTCAGTTACAATACAATTCAATACAGGAGGAATCAGTAGGCCCTGCTCCTTAGAGCTTACAATCTAAAAGGGATGCTCAAGTGATACAAAAAATAAAAACTGTGGGGGGTAATCTGATAGAGAAAATAAAAGTACAGGTAAGGGCACTATAGGTTTCTTTGAAGAGAAGGGGTTCTGGGATTGCCTAAAAGTGGGCAGAGTAGGAGATAGTCAGACAGATTGGGGTAGAGCATTCCTTAGGATGGGAGAGACTCTGGGGAAGTCATGAAGGCAGGCATGGGAAGAAGTGACAAGGGAGCTAGAGAACAAGAGGTCTTGGGAGAAATAAAGAATGGTTTGGTTGGGATTTTGATACAAGGTTATTGATGTAGCAGGGGGCATTGTGGATGGCTTTGTATGTTGTTGGTATTTTCAACTGTATTCGTTGGGTGAGTGGCAGTCAGTGGAGGGATTGGCAAAGAAGGCTAGCAGACACTGAATGTTTGGTAAGGTGGATGAGACTGACAGCAGCATTCATGATGGACTGAAGGGGGTGGTAGCCTGTGTAAAGGTAATCCAGTGAGGAGGGAGTTGCAGTAGTCAAGACGAAAGACAACCAGGGAGTGAATTAGCAGCTTTGTTGTGTTGTTGGTTAGGAAGGGGTGTATTTTGGAGATGTTGCGTAAGCTGAGGCAGCAAGCTTTGGACAGTGATTGGATGTGAGGCCAAAAGGATAGTTCAGAGTCCAGGATTACACCTAGCACCTTGGCATGTGGGGACGGGTTGATGGTTGTGCCAAGAGGTATGCAGGGAAGGAAATATTTTGATTTTGGATAGATTTAGTTTGAAGAAGTGGTGTGACATCCAGACTATGTTTGTTAGTAAATGAATGATGCGTGAGGAGACTGATGGAATGAGCTGAGGGGTAGAGATATAAATTTGGATGTCATCAGTGTAGAAATAGTATTGAAAGCCATGGGAGGCTATCAGTTGACCTAGGGAGTGTAGTTTGAGAATTTTTTTTTGTTTTTTTTTAATAAATGTTTTCAACATTATCAATATTACATTAGTTACTTCATGTTTTTACTATCACCTATGTGATAGTATTGTGCAGTGCCAGGTCCTATTTATATCAATACTGGGGGGTCTACTAGACCTTGGATGTCTTTCTTGCACTACTGCCAAAGAAACTGAGTCCTGGCTGCTTTCCAGAATCTGACAGCCATGAACTGCTCTGCTCCAATCACTTCCGGGTTTACCAAAAAAAGAGAGGGAGGATCAGTGAGTGGATTCTTTCATCCACTCTACCATCCTGAACATTTGACATCTGGAACTCCTAGTGTTAACCGCAAGCATTTCTCTAGCCAGGAATTCAATGTTAAATGGTTACCCATTTGGGGATATTAATTTTTACATGTAATTTCCTAATGCTTGGGGTTATGCAAGGGAGGTAAAAGTATATCTAAAGCCCAAACTAAAGCCATTGGGTAGATTTCCCTCTAGGCTCGCCAGTTCCCTTAGCAGAAAAAAATGCTGATATAGAGCGTTTTTGTACACAGTTTAGGAGAGTTTAGTGTTTTTTTTTCTGCCAGAAAGCTCCAATCAAAAACGCAAACCAGAAGGCTTTTTTTCCTGCCTCTAAACGTTGTGCTTAACATACACCTCTAATCACCCTGATTATGAACACATAGGATAACACTGAGATGCTTCTACAGGCAAAACAAACTCCTGTAGAAGCAGCGATTTTTAAGTCAGTGTGCATGGAGCCTAATGCAGGCCATAGACGGGGAGAAAAACGGCCGATTTTTCTTTTAAAAAACGAAAAATCGGTCGCTCAAGCGGCCGACGTTACCAGCAATGGTAAAAAAAATTGGCCGATTTTCATCCCGTCTACAGCCGGCAGGATGAAGAGGATGAAGAAGAAGAAGATGAGGAGGAGGAGGATGAAGAAGAATAAGATGAGGATGATGATGATGAAGAAGAAGAAAAGGATGATGATGAAGAAGAAGAAGCATGAAAAATAAGAGGAATTCCAGGCCGGCAAAAAAGTGTCCCTGCAGAGAGCTCTGCTATTTCTTTGACAGTTTTGACATTTACAGCGGTTGCAACAATGTATCTATTTGTATCCATTTAGGATACAGATGTTTTTATTTGGAAACAAATAGATACAATGTTGCAACCGCTGTAAATGTCAAGGAACTGTCAAAGAAATAGCGGAGCTCTCTGCAGGGACACTTTTTTGCCGGACTGGAATTCCTCTTATTTTTTATGCTTCTTCTTCTTCTTCATCATCATCATCCTCTTCTTCTTCTTCATCATCATCATCCTCATATTCTTCTTCTTCATCATCCTCCTCCTCCTCATCTTCTTCTTCTTCATCCTCTTCTTCTTCTTCATCATCATCATCCTCTTCTTATTCTTCATCATCATCATCCTCTTCTTCTTCTTCTTCTTCATCATCATCTTCTTCTTCATCATCATCATCATCCTCTTCTTCATCATCATCCTCTTCTTCTTCTTCTTCTTCTTCTTCTTCATCATCCTCTTCTTCTTCATCACCCTCCTCCTCTTCTTCTTCTTCTTCATCCTCCTCCCTCTTCTTCTTCTTCATCATCATCCTCTTCTTCTTCATCATCATCCTCATCTTCTTCTTCTTCATCCTCCTCCTCATCATCTTCTTCTTCTTCATCCTCTTTTTCTTCTTCTTCATCATCATCCTCTTCTTATTCTTCATCATCCTCTTCTTCTTCATCATCCTCTTCTTCTTCTTCTTCTTCTTCTCATCC